ATTCAAAAGTAAAGGCATTGAAATTAACAAGTATTATAAACCCTAATAACAAGTAATCATACTAAATTAACATGCACATTTACAAAAGGACTTATTGCACACTTCACAAGTAGACTTGGGTGATTGACAAGACATTAGAATAAGTGTAGTGAAAAACTGAAGATGATTTAACAAATACTTCATTAAAAAATGTAAGGTATTTTTGGAGGTGTTGGATGTTTAAAAATGTGTAATCATTACTTTTTTAAAAAATACCCCTATTGAATATATTAATTTATATTTTTTAAAGTAAAATATCCTATTAAATAGGGATAAATATAAAAAGATAGGGTTAGTTTAAAGACAAGTAACTACTTTATTGGAGGTAAGATTTAGTTAAAAATACCTTATATTTTTTAATGGAGGGAGTAAGTGATAATTTAATTTTGACAAGTTGTTGAAAATTGGTTAGAATGATGAAATAACATGCCCTTTGTGAAATTAACAAGTGACATTATGTTGCATTTAGATGGGTGGATTTAGGTTAAAAATTTAGATTTAAAATTTTATATTTGAAATCTCACATTTGAAATTCATAGATTCCAAATTTTTTTATTTGGATGATATAAAAAATTTTAAATTATAATATTAAAATCCTTTATTTGGATCTAAAATAAAATTTAAAATTTAAAATTTTATATTTGAATTTAAAAGAAACTTGGACAACTGGTCAAAGTCAATAGTCCGAATAGCCAACTTTCACCGAGATCAAACAGTCAAATCTAATTGAGACTATAGTATCGGCGATGACTAGGATGGAATAGCCTATTTCACTTGGGACCGAATCGACCCAACAACGAGAACTGAATGGTCAACTTCCATTGGGACTAGACTAATGGTGATGATAAGTATTGGATGCCTGACTTCCATTAGGATTGAACCAACTACAATGACTAGGACTGGGCAGCCGACTTCCACTAAAATTGGACAGTTGACTTCCATTGAGACTGGACCCAGTGGAATTCTGCTGTTGAGTCCTCGTCGTCACCATAGGTCCTGTCCCAATGGAAGTCAACCGTCCAGTCTCCATCATCGCAATCAGTCCAATCCTGGTGGAAGTAAGTCATTCAGTCTCGGTGGTTACAGTCGGTCTGATCTCAATAGAACTTGACGGTTCATGACTGGACTACCCAAGTTCACCAATTGTGAGGTGTGTCTTGGCCAAAGATCATAGGACTTACTCTCAGACCATGGCTTCTCCCACTCTCGAATCTCTGGGGTATCGTATACCCTAAGCTAACTACCTCGATAAACTGGTAAAGATAGTTAGGTTTTAGTCCCTCAAAAAACTATGGAATAAGGCTATACTCTTGTGCATCGAAAGGCAGCCGAAATACCATATGGATTTTAACTACTCCTCTTCTTAGGTGAACTCTCACCAACTGATCATGCTATGTATGATGCCCGCTCATTTTCACAATTTCATTTATTCATTATTAGCATATTGGGCTCATGATAATATGCTACTTAAGTGAGCATCAATTTCAACACAATTATCTTTATCCCAATATACTTAATCACAATTCACATCTATCATACCAATAACCAATTTCTCATTCCAATATAACATTGTAAATTGAAATTCATTTCAAATTCACTTTTAAATCTTTAGTTCAAAACAAACAAATATACTATCTCATGTTTCATAGAATGTTATCACATCAACACATTCAATTATTCATATATGCAAATGCATTTTCACATTAATGTACAATTAGTAAACAACTAATCAAAGTAGAGTTTTCTCAGTTACCTTAAATCTTTGAGATATCAAAGGTTTACCTCTCAATTGTTAGCTTCCAAGCTTGATTTCCCAAGCTCGAATGGTGCTCGAATGGTTAATCTACAGTTAATCAAATCTAAACTCATCAATATTGTCAAAACACATTTCCTCTCTCACATCTTTAATCCTAAAATACCTAAGACTATTATTTCTCACCTTTGGACTTACTCATTAGGTATAATAACTCTCTTTAACTCCCAATACCATCAATGAGTTATTATGGTAATACAACTCTTCCAACAACTCTCATTAATGCCATTTTCAGATGTTTATAGCATTTGCCAATCAACAACCTTTAAAACTATTAATATTAGATTTAAATACTTTAAACAATTTTTATTAACTTTATTTGAGCCAATGGATTCAAATTCATAACCTATATAGATTAAAAATTATCTCCCATTATCAAACTCTAACCAAAAACCTATAAAAATGAAAGAAAAAGGAAGATTACGGTGTAGGACACTTATCTTAGGTGCTTTCTAGCATCAAAATACTTCTAAACCACCAATGTGACAAACCTTAGTAAAGCTTTATCAAGCTCCTTCATTTTCCTCTTCTCCCTCTTCTAATTTCTGTATTAGCTTACGACTAATATATCAGAATTTTTAGCCGTGTGCTGCGGCACATGCAACACGAGCCACGGCATATGGCACAGAAAGGCCCTTCCTTCTTTGTTGCCATCTGTGCACCACAGCTGATGTGTTGCACACTACGGTATATGGCACAGATACAATCCTTCACGTTTTTCTCCTTTTTTCGATGCTTGAGTGGCCTGGCTTCATTTCAAAGTTCAAACTCATAATTAGCGCTAAAATCACAACTAAATATATTTATTAAACTTCTCTGGCCACACACCACATCAAATCACTCAATCACCATAATTAAATTTGACCAATTCCTTAGTAATCCAAGGTTTAAAATTTTGGATGTTACATAAGTGCTTTTATATTTTTCAAAACATTAAATTACAAAATAACATCAATCTTTTTATTTATTTTTATATTCTTATAACATTTCACTAAATAGTTATAGTTTTAAAACATTGAATAACTCACTTGATACTCTACTAATGAAATAAAATATTAACTATTATAAGTTCTTCTATACATACATATGCAAATAAATTTACACACAAAAGGCCTAAAAATGCTAATTCATATCAAAAGTAATAAGGCATGTTCAAGAACGGCTAATTTTGTATTTTAGGAGGTACTTGAGAACATTAAAAATGGACTATAGTTCTTTTTATGTTATATCTTACACTAATTATTTGCTTAAACTCTTTTCTTATGGTTTGTACTTTTACATCAAAATTAATTACGATTATATCATTTACATTTATCATTTATTCAATTGATTACAAATTAATGCAATCTAGCTAAATACCATACTTAGTGAAAAAACTAGGTTAAAATATACTATTGGTTATCTAACTGTATATAAGATTTTAATGTAGTCTCTTAATTTTATAAAATATCCTTTCAATCTTTTAACCCTAACACCGTTAGTTTTAAATGATTATTCTCTCTATTAAAAAATGTAAGGTATTTTTTGAAAAGTTAAATGTTTAAAAATATAAGACATTTTTAATTTTTTAAGGTGTAATTATTGTCTTTTTTTTCAAAAGCGTCTATATTGATAATGACTTTATATTTATTGTAGGATATTTAATAGAGGTAAATATAAAAAGATAGGGTTAGTTTGAAAATAGATAACTACTTTATTGGGAGTAAGATTCGGTTAAAAATAACTTATTTTTTAACGGAGGGTGTATTTTTTATATCAATCACTATTATTTAAAAAAAAACTAAAATTAACATGTTAACACTTTAAGAATGTTTTGTCAATATTTAAAAATTTAATGTAAAAAATTTTTGTGATAAAACTAACATTGATAGGGTTAAATGATTGAAAATACAATTTATAAAATTAAAAAACTAAAATAAAACATTGTATAAATTTAAAAGACTAAATGTATACTTAAAAAAAAAAACTAAACAACACAATAACGTTATTGATTTTAAATAAATATAGTATGTAACAACAATGATATTCTATAATATAGTTTATCCTACAAGAAAATAACTTTGAAAACACACATAAACTAATCTAATTAGATAATATCTTGCATGTGCATTGCACGGGGTGTGACACTAATTTATGAAATTTATAAATTTATCTATCTAATATTTAAAAAAAAAATCACATGCAAGTCCCATGTCACAAGGTTTAAGAAAATAGATCATATTAATGATATCTTATAGATAATATCAACTTGCCATGAGTTTTTTTTCTTCCATCTTTATATATAAAGTATTTTTAAAAGCTTATTTTGGGTGTTATGATATTTTTGAGTAGACAATTTTTTCCTTACCTTGAAAAAATAAAAAAGATATTAATTATATGCTTAATACATCATCACCATGATATTAATTGATATTATTAAAGGTAAGATTAAAAAATATTATGATTTGATATAATTTTAACCAAATAACAAACTTTTATTAATAAATATGAAGTTTAGTTAAAAACATTTTATATATAAAGACAGAAAGTATATCATATAGTGGGATAATGACACACACATATATATTTGGTGGAAAGTGGTACAGTGATATCAATTTGATGAAAATTACTTAACCTATAAACAGTAACCTAATAACCTGATTAGAGACTATCACCAGCTAACAAAAGAGTTGGATTTTAGGATTTGAATGTCGAGGCACACTATCAGCTTTAATCTCTCGTGCCCAGTTGTTTTTTGCCATACACAGATAGCCTTTGCCACTCCAATTGATAGCCAGTAGCCACGTGAGCTTAAATTGGTGATGATTAGCATCACATTAGAGTTATCCATATGTGGAGTGAAAATACTCTTTGTTTGACCTAATCAAGTGTGATTTAATAATTAATAAATTATCCATCCTCTAGTCGCTTAATTAGTTTCTTGGAAGCAAGCTCGCTCGGGTCATGAAACGTAACTGAACCAACCCTCTCTGTCACGCAACAGCATGAGATCCATTTATATTCGTAATTATCAATTCTTACCAATTACCACGGAAAGGCATCTATTTCTCGGCCGAAAAAAAAAAAATAATGGCGAGGATTGTGTTAACACACATCCAATTCGCTTTCTCTTTACAGCAGCCATAGTCGAGGTAAAATCCGAAAAATAGAATGGAAGTGGACACTAAAATAATCAAGAAGCAGTTGCTGGGGAGAGAGAGAGAGAGAGAGAGAGAGAGAGAGATCAGCGGGAGAGAAATCCTTACAAATTACTGCTGTACATGTTTTCAATGGAGAAACAGGTTCACATCATCACATGAAATGGAAGTACTGTTGTATTGCAACGCCATGACACTGACCTACGGCCCTATTTCATAACATTACGAACGAACGGTCGACATCAATCTTACGACACTGAAATCTCGTCCAGATTAGATTTGACTCTCAGAATTGATCGCAGAGGCTTAATCTCTTCTCTCTCTTCTTGTTGATGCTCCAGAGAATTCGATTTTCGAAAAGATTTGCTCCTCTTCTTCCTCTTATTACTGCCGTTAATCTCCTCCACGTTGTCATTAATGCTTACCGTTTTCTTCAGAGCTTTCTCTGGAGGTATCATTTTCTCTTCCACGTTCATGCCTGGACCGTTCTTTTCTTCGGCTTTCTGCTCCTTTGTCTCTGGCTTGACCACTGCCTCATCTTCTCTAGAAGTCTGAACCTTGGTTGAGCCGAACTGCATGGAACGCCCTAAAGTCACCGTCTTCAATGCTTGGAAAGCCAAGGTTTTCATGATGAAATGATAGATCCTGTGACAGATGCCCAAAGATCGAACATGAGGTTCTCTTTGGTCCATCTGATGGGTTCAGACCAATCCGAAGACGAAGACGAGAAAAATAGGATATCGTATCGAATGGGAAGGGAAATATATCATCGATGAATCTCGCCCTAGTGCTGAGATAAAGAATATAAAGCTTGCAGGTTAGTGGATCGCTGAATCTCTTGTAAAGAGATTCATTGCTTTCCTTGCAAGGGATGTTATATTGTCGGCCCCTAAATTTTGGTCTTATAAGTTGGGCATACTAATCGTAAAGGTGGAGCGCAAGAATTCTATTATGCTCGGACCCGGGTAAATATGAATCGAGAGAAACGACCAAAAAGGGAAGAATTAAAGAGAAAGTGTTACAACTGACCTTATTTTGGAGAGCTACAAAGGTAGTAAACAAGTCCAAATCCAACTGCTCAAAACTAATCACTTGTGATTTTATTTTATGCCGTTAAAACAAGCCAACCAGTTCTTTTATGTACTAAACCGACCTCAACACTTGAATAGGATAACGTGTCAAAAATCAATCGAATAAAACCAATAAGCACGCTCAACATCTCGTGCTCGGACTATGCTTATTGAACATTTCTTTATTACAAGCAGAGATCCAAGATCAATGGAAAGTGAACATCTAGCAAATTACCAAATATGGCTTCTGATAAACAACCAAGTAGTCAAAACACTGGTTTGGGTAAATCCGACGGGATTGAGCATCTATTCCGTCCTAGACCGTGAGTTTGGAATAATTGTGGTTGTCACTCATCCATTCGTCTACATTATTATTTCAGAAGGCTTTCCTTTGGCCTTCCAATCGTTCCAAGGCTACTATCGAATTCATTTCCCACAAGCTTTTCTTGTCTTGAAGTTATATTCCAGTTTGCCACGAGAATATTGGACATAAAGAGAATGATAACATTTTAAACCCAAAGTAACTAATTTTACTCAACGAACAAAGTTGGGGAGGGTTTACAGCTATATTCGAATTTATTACTCGGTTTCAGCCACAAATAAATGAAATAAATAAGAGTTATTTCATGAGTGGGCTAGAACTCCCGTCTAAAGTACAAATTTGGCATCTTCCAAACAGAGCTATGCCGATATACGTCCACACAAGCGCCAGTATGCTCCAGGATGAAATAGAGACTTCTCAAATACCCAGATATCACGAACAAGAACCTGGAAAACATAGAAAGGAAGCGGTTAATGCAAGGAAAAGGTGGCCTCTGTCTGCAATAAAGAGAAATGGATCCAGCATTGGGAGATGAAAGCATGAAGTTCCTATTATCTTGCAGATTTCCTTTATATTAAAAGGGCTATCCTGCTTCAAATATAAGTCACAACAATGGCAATGAGAGAAGAAAAAAGTCCGAAGAGTTCCCTTGCATCCAACAAATACGCAACTAAATATAAGAGTGAACTGACCATCTTTTCCCTTTCTGAATTAAAGCATCATCCTCATTGACAGAAACTAACGGGGGATGAATATCTGGTAACATCACAAGTAAGAAATTTTAGAAATACATAAATATTACCTCCTTGTCTTTATCGCCAGCTACAACAGTGCCTTTTGAGTCATATGCTTCAAATTTCTACAAGGAATGTAACATAGATTTCATCCGTTAAAGTACCAGATATCTTACAATTCATGAAACCAAGTGGTTTCCGGATTCTAAAATATAATCAAGTTTTTAGTGTAAGCGCAAAACATACATGCTTAACCAAAAATTCAAGAGTAAGCTGAATGAATACTTTATTGAGGTCATTTCGATCAACACCAATCTGGAAGTGATAAAGAGTGTAGAAGTGTCATTAAACAGGGAAATGGACTTCTGCTCCTTTTCGAGAGAGAAGAGTACAATATAATATCATATACAATCTACTCTTCTGCAGTTAAGCATCTTATTCTGTAGGTGCACTATAAACACATGGAAGAAAAAATGTCATACATAAAAGGAGAGGAAGATGAGCTCTAACCAAACGAGCACGTAAAGTTCGGATTTTAACAACTGGTTCGATCAATTCCCAATACACGTTGCTCCATACAGTTTCCCTTTGCTTAATTTCATTCTTAAGGGCCTGTTGACAACAAAATCAAATATACAATTTCACAAGTCAAAGTAAATTCTCTTTAGAAATTATGGAACATAAAAGAGTCTCATCATAGAAAATAATTAATGTCACAAAAGGATCGCAGTCAAATAGCAGGTAGCAGGAACTGCAGCATACAGAAAACATGTTCTCAGTAACCGCTTTCCTTAATGAATTTTTGTCTCCATTAGCGATTAATGTGTTTATCTGCGGAGAAAAAAGAAAAAATAAGCATTGAGCCAGAGAAAAGAAAGACAGAGAAAATATTAAGAGAAAAGCCAGAATATATGTATGTATGTATGTATGTATGTATGTATAAAGAAGCGTTCTAAGGGGCAAAAGAAGGATACTGTTATGAACTCATGTTAATCAATGCACTTTATTCAGCTTCATGGTCTTTCTCTTCAATAATATCCCTTCCATATATCCATAAAAAGATTATAAAACCTTTTTGGTTCTCATTGCTTAAGTTACAAGCAGGAAATGAATATAAGATTATAATTATGGCACCATGCCTTCAAATATTGTAATAATTGGTAAGACTTTAGAACATAATGGCAACTAACCTCCTTGTACATAGTGACGGCCTCAGTGTAAAATTGCTTTTTTGAGTATCCAAATTTTCTCAACTTGGCTATAGCATAGGCACTTTTGAGCTGTGGATGAAAAGAAAGAAATTTTATTTACGCTTTAAAGTAAATTTAGCCTGCATTAAAAGAAGGAGAAAGGGCCCAGGGTTCAATGTTTTCAAATGTACCTTTAGTATGTTATCAAAAAGGAAAAGATGAAAGTAATGATCTGACATATCTCTTTGAAAACAAAGCGAAACTGAAGAAGGAATTTGAATAAAAACTTGGATTGACAGACATGTTTATCTCAGAACAGTTAGGCTGAAGAACTCAAAGCATTAAGCTAACATTTATAAAAGTAAAAAACAAAAAAGCTTGGAAATTTAAATAGTTGGCACGCAACAGCACCTCCAAAATTATATCATCTTTGGTTCTTCTCCAACCACTTCTTGTGAACCATCTGATACAAGAAACGTCAAAAGTGTAAATGCTCCATAATAAGAAGAGAAATAAAGAATGCAAACTATACTAGCATAGGGAGTCATCGTCATGGGGTGAAACAAAAACTATTTTCTTGTTAAACTGATCAGATTGATAATGTTAGATGTTGACTAACAGCAGGGGAAACAATTGCTACCCTGAAATTTAATTGAAGCCTACAAAACTTCTTCAAATATAGGCTTTGCATAAGTTTTGACAACAAGTAATTTTAGTGAAAACCAATAAAAAAAAAATTGAACCAATGAGGCCTAACCTCTGCCAAAATGAGATTGGTTCACGAGATGCATATGGTTCATAGACAAATCCAGGACTAGACATGGAAACTTTAAGTGCTCCCTGCATCAAAGATATATTACCTAACCATCAAAATTATTAATAAAAGATTAAATACAGCCACAATGGATCTTTGGTTAACCACTAAAAATACTGGGACCACAAAACTGTTATACACACAGCAGATAATTTCCCAGACTTAAATAAGGGAACTGAATAAAGCCATAAACTCCATCTAATCTCTAGGACATTAATTTTAGAGAAGGCGTATACAGCATGAGTGTCTACCTAAGGTGTATTAAGGTTAAAATTGTTAAAAAGCTTTCTGTGTAACTTAAAATTAAATGACCATTTGCTGCACATACTATTAAAAGTGTCAAGAATGAATGAATGCTCAGTCGGCCTTCTTCGTATGTCTCAATAATGAATATTTGCCGCATTTCTTACATTCATGTTTCATATGATCACCCAGCATCCAAGAAAACATTATGTACATGAAATCAAGTTTTGCAGAATGGAATGGAAATGTAGTACACGCAGTTCAACTTGAAGTTGTTGTTGTAAGAACATGGGGATAATTACACAAACTGCAATCTGCAGTCTGCAATAATAGGCAAGATGCCATTGTGTAGAGCACATATTAGGCCAGCCTCACTCATTCTGTGTTAATAACTCCTTCATTGACTGCAGAACAAGATGGGATGAAGGCACAAAGTACCCTCTATTATATACATAGAAATAAATATACATATAAGCGTATAAAATTTTAAATGATAAGGATGCATAAGTGGAGGCAATAATATAATCCTTATTACAGTGAACTAAGTGTACTCTAAGAGCTAAAATAAATAGAGACTCAGACCCAACAGAAGGATCAGCGGAACTCCCAAGTGAAAAGTTCCAGTTCCTTCGCAGCAGAGGTTGCAGCTCGCTTTTAGCATTCCCACAAGTTCAAACAATTCAATAATTTAAGTGGTATAAAAATACCCAAAAATAAAAACAGCAACGAATGCTTCTTCATTATAAAATGAAGATGAACAATTATAAGAGAACGAACCGCTTTTCGTGCATGTGCAGGGCCGTTAGCTTGTGTAGTTGCTAACCTCCTCTCGTTCCTAAATATGATCAGCTCAGCAGCCTAATAAAGTAGCTACAAAATTAGGAAGCCGATTGATTTTTCCTTTTTAAATGAGATCTGAAACTAGAGTAGACAGTGACTTTAGTATATTACCATGGTAGACCGGACTGTCAAAGTTTTACCACTAGTCCAGGGACAGATGTTATGGCCATTATGCAAGTTAGAAGAGAAGCTCTTGAGATTGAAACTATATTGAAGACCTGACCGAGCAGAAATCACTTGAATTTTGAAAAAAACTGAAGGCATTCGAGATACAGATAAGTATTAAATTGGAATCAGACAGCAAGTTTCCAATTGATTGAGATGGAAAGCAACCACAGTAATTTTTTTCGAATCAGATTACCATTTGATACACCACTGGCATAATTGCTGTAGCTTCGAATCCTGGAGTTCAAAGATAAACTATGGTCTTAGTGAATAAAATTTTCTGAACTCTATTCAATCCATAAGTATCAGAGAAGGCCTTTGGTTTGGTAGTCAGCTAAGCATAAAAGTAAGTCCAATATATGACTAGTTGCAAACACAGTTGGAAATAATATAGGTTCGAATACATGAACAACTTCCTTGTTCGACATTTTAACAGAAATCAAACACCGCATAGACGAGTGCTTTTACTCACGAGTAAGGAGAATCTCGAAGTCCAGATACATGATGCAGCACGCGAATCAATTGTGAGCGTCTTAAGGCCATATTCAGTTGAAAAATAATGAGTTGTTCTAAAACCTCCCGGGATCATGAATTCGTCCGAGCCTTGCCTTCCTGGAAGGTTTTTGCAGGGTTTTAAGTCGGGCAGCGGATCCGGAGTCCATCTCACCCGGGAAGTCACAGAAACTCGTGTATAATCAATCTGGACCGTATATTAAAAATGTTTAAGATAGATTCAATTTAATTTGTTATTTTATGTTTTCATTTTTATGTTAATAAATACCAAAAAAGAAATAAGAAAGAAATATAATTTCTAAGTTTTTGTTCTTTAAAAAATATAAAGTTATCAATCAAAAAGGTTAGGAATTAATTAAAAAAATTTAAATTTATGCATTTGGACAATCTAAAGCTTATTTTAAATATAAGTATATAGTATTTATCCCTTTAAAATATGTTTGATTCAAGAGTTTTAAAGGAAAGGAGAGGGAAGATGATCTCCTTCCCCTACTTGGATGAAAAATTTTGAAGGGGGGAAGCCAAAATTGCCCCTTCCTTTTTCTTATATTACTCCACTTTAATTTGAGGTTTTTTTACGAGAGAATTAAATTTTTTTAATTATATTATCCTTTGCTTTTTATTGATATTTCATAAATGTCTCTGTGTTAACCAAAAAAAAAAAAAAACTTATCTTCTTCTCTTCTAGCGTGTAACTAGTTCCCACCTGCTGTAGCCACCAATGCTAAGCTCATCAACATGGTTGCCGCCACCGCTTGCCTATCCAGCAAGCCACCTAATGAAATAGCCACGACCTTCTCTGTCGCACCCTCCCCCGCCAAACCCACCTTTTTACTTGTAATTGTCATCTGTCACCCAACTGGATCTTTGCCCTTGCAGCAACTGCTACTTGGGGGTTTTTTTATTGCAATAAATTGATCAATCCCTAAAGCAAGCTTACTCCGTTATTTCTTTGTTTTTTTTTGCTTAATAATATAAAACAAATGTTTAATCAATATCAATATATAATAATTAACATAAAATTTATTATTAATGCACAACATTTAAAAATTATAATTTAATTAAGGTGGAGAAAATTTTATATGAAGAACAATTTTAAAAAAATAAGTTAGTACATAATGATATAATAATAAATTAATTGTTATCTCCCCTCCCCCCTGCCCTCCTCCCCTTCAATAAAACCAAATAAAATATCATTAAAACCTTTCCCTCTCCTCTCCTCCCTTCTCCTCCATTACCTCTCCCCTCATTCCTTCAAACCAAACATAATCTTAATAAATGTTAAATATGAATTCAATATTTTAATGCTTCTATTCAACCTAATTATGTTGCATTGTATGATGTTGATGACTCACAAGCATTTCTTGTCTCTTCGTGACCATTCCAATTTCATAAGCAAATGTCATGGCAAATTTTCACTTTGCTGCTTAGCGTGTTTTAATCTACAATGAAGTAAAATAAGCATGAGAAGTTTTCAGTTTTAAAAATTTCTTCTCATCATTTCTACTATTTCCCCCATTGTTTATCTACTATATTTAAACTCAAAAACAACCTCATTAATTAGAATGTTTAAACATGTCAAGAAATTCACTAAAAGCAATATCCACTCTAATTCCATTGAAGTTATTTCGCTTATTTAGTATAATTTTTTTGATAGTCACTCTCATTCAAAAATTATCAAGAAAGTCGGAGATTTCAAGTTGTAACAATTTTTTTACTTCAATGCTTAACAAATTTTATTTTGTAATGAAGTAAAATAAACATGAGAAGTTTTCAATATTGAAAATCTCTTCCTACCATTTATTGTTTCCCCCTTGTTTTTTATCTACCATGTTTAGATTGGGAAACAACCTCATCAATTAGATTATTTAACTATGTCAAAAAATGCACTAAAATTAATATTCACTTTGACTTTATGGAAGCTATCTCGCTCATTCAACATAATTTCTCTAATAGTCACTTTTTTTTAGAAATTATCAAGAGAGTTAGAGATTTTAAACCGGGACAAATTTTCACTTTGATGGTTAATAAATTTTAATCTGTAATGAAGTAAAATAAGCATGAGAAGTTTTTCAATCTTGAAAATCTCTTCTCACCATTTTTATTGTTTTCCCAACCTATTGTTTATCTACAACATTTAGATTGGAAAATAACATCATCAATTAGACTATTTAAATATGCTAGAAAATTTATTAAAATCAACATTCACTATGATTCTATAGAAGCTATCTTACTCATTTAACAAGATTTCTTTAATAGTTTCTTTCAAAAATTATCAAAAAAGTCAAAGATTTTATCATGAAAAATTCGGTTATCATCTTTGATCACATGTTTAAGGAAGCTAATAGATGCACTAATATACTTACTTATTAAGCCTCCCAAAATAATTTAGATATAGTGATTTTTACTCATTTGTCTTCAAGATGCAATTCTTTAATAAAATTTGACATGATTGATCTTGTTTTTTTATCCCTTTTGAATGGTTTCTTTGTGATCTTATATTAAAAAAAGGTACGTGAAGGCATGCAGAAAATTTTGCTTTATGCAAACAATCTTTCACTTGTGATGACTAAGAAGGAAGGGAAGAAAAAGGTCACGAATAAATTAGACTTGTACACTAGTTGAATTTTATCCTAACCTCACGTTTGGCTAAATACATTAGTTCAAACATTAGGTTGCCTGAATGTTTGGATTAGATTTAGCTCGATTTAAAAAAATTTTTAAAAATATTTTTAGAAATATGAAAGTAATTTTGTAGCCAACAAAAAAATGTAAATGAAAAGGTTGTTGGAATAATGGGATTATGTTTAATTTTTTAATGTAATTTGGGCAATGCCCTCTTTTTTATCCAAAAAAAAAAAAAAACTTATCGAATGTATTTTGTATGTGTGGTTACCGCCACCACAGCCATCGCAAAATTCCCAATCTTCGCCTATTATTCTCTGTGAGAAATCAGACACTCGAAGCCAGTGGAAAATAGACGGAGATCGCTGTTAATGTACAGCTAACTTCCAAAAATATATGTTTCGTATTTTATTCGAGATATCGTTCACGGCAGGTTCAAATCAAGATCAAAGAATTGGAGTGAGCAACCTATTTGCAACGAAGCAAGATGTCAAATATCACTGTTTGTGCCCGCTTCAGGCCTCTATCGTCTAATGAGAAACGAATTGACGATAGTTCTGTCTGCATTCGACGTATAGACACAGAAACTTTTGCTTTCAAGGTTTTAACATGCCAGACTAAACATTCATTTACTTCGTCACTTTATTTCCATTATGACTATGGAATTGATCATTCAAAAATTGAGCGCATTGCCTTGTGGATTTGAAATGCTTTTGATCAGGACGAGAAGGAAGAGGATTTCACGTTTAGCTTCGATAGAGTGTTCTATGAGAAATCCGAGCAGGCTGATGTCTACGAATTCCTAGCTCTTCCCATAGTTCGAGGTACACACGTCTATTCAATCTAAATACTTCAGCGTTTCCTTAATTTCAGTTGCTTTCCATTACATTAGATATAATAAACTCATCACGTTCAGCTTGTTGTTATTATATATCTCCAAAATAAAGGACAAACGGTTCTTAAAAATAGAGTATGGGGGAAATGGCACGGTCACTTAGCTACAATCTTACAGAGATTGGATTTCCTACACTGACAAAAATCTGAATGTAAATACAAGTGAATGAAGAGGGTATGTTATGAGAGTGATAAAGAAAAAAGTGTGGACAAATATAGTTATCAGATGTGAATCCTGTGTATATGGCATTATGGCTACATTTTCTGGTGTTTTTCTTTCTTTCTTTTTTTGAACACACGAATACATAAATAAAAAAGATCCAATTTGATGTTTTTAACTATTTGCGTTGCTATCTTTTTCCCGATGATATAATGCGTTTGATTTTATATGTGATCTCCATCAACGAAGCAGATGCCGTTAATGCTATTAATGGGACAGTTATCACTTATGGTCAGGTAAGATGTCATTACACAGCCAATATTTTTCAGCATGCAGTCTCCTAGTATCACAGACAATTACCAATTGTGCTTCTGCGACATGCATGCATTGACATTTCTAGCTAGTTCATCCGCACTAGAATGGAATTCTAGTCCATGTCGAGACTTGTGAGAAAAGACGTGTTGTTTCACGAGGCGAGAAAACACGCACAGCTTCAATTGCGGTTGAACTTTTGTTGTACTCCTACTAACTAAACGAGGAGTTCAAGGACAAACCACAAATCTCCGTAGGATTTAACTTTTTATATATAACCGTTGGCATGAAAGGCCATCTCCAGTTTCCCGTCTGGAAGGACGCTGCCATTTTTAGCTGTGTGTTTTTCTTTTTTATTTTAAAAATTCTATCTGCTTAATTTATGAATGCAGTTTTTAATTAACTTTAATAATTAATCGGGAATTTGTTTTCTGCAATCAATGACAGACTGGGGCTGGGAAGACATATAGCATGGAGGTGAAGTATTTTTAATTTAGTTGTCCAAATAATCATTTTATATAACATAAAAGGCTGCAATACCAAGTCAGTACGACTTTCATGAAGCAGGGACCGGGAATACTGGAACTCGATGAACGTAAGAAGGGGCTGCTTCAAAGAGTTGTGGTTGGACTATTTGATTCCCTAAATCGTTCAGATGAAGAAGACATAAAGTATTCAATCAAGCTGTCAATGGTACTTTGGCACTTGCCAATTAACTCCAGGATCTGCAGTAACTGAAATAACATATGTTTAGGCTCGTTAATTTTTCTGATTTTTTTTTTCTGGGGGCTTGTCCAGGCTGAAATCTACATGGAGAAAGTTAGGTAAGCATCGTAAAAGCAATTATTTTTCTTATGGCCATAGTGAATTCCATCGCCATCTGACTGGAAATTTTATTTGCATTGGTGTTTTAATAGCTGATCTTTTTATTTGTAGAATAACTCTTTCTGCTCTTACGCAGGGACCTACTCGATTTATCAAATGACAATATACAGATTAAGGAAAGCAAAACACAAGGAATAATATTACCTGGTGTAGCAGAGGTGAACAATTTAAGTGGGAATTATTTATACGCTATTTCGCTCTTTTCCTTTATTCTCTGGTTCAAGAGCTACTTTCCTTTCTACATTAGATACATGTCCTAGCTGTCTAGCTCTTAATAAGTAAGACGTAGATATAACAAGTTCTGTTAGCACAGTGCTATGTAGCTAAATTGAATTCTGACAACATGAGATGAATCAGGGAAAATAAATTGGAGTAATTAGTCCTTTTCAATAGAAATTTTGTTATTTTTCACGCTCGCAAACTTTAGACGGGAATCTTATTGTTTATACCATCCACTAACAATCTCAGTTTTGGTTATCTCTTAGATTACATACTTCTCCTCTCTCTTAATTTTTTTTTTTTAACAAGGACAAGAACTCGCTTCATTTTATTTAAAATTAGACACATTCATTATATCCAATTTGAGACAAGTCATTCTGTACATGGTTTATGAATAGAATGTCTCACTTGAAGTTTTGCACGATATATTGGATTACAATAAGACAAATGTTTATTTTATTACAACTGAGAAAACCTTCATAGCATATAATGCTAACAATAGTTTCATTTTCCCCCCTTCAGAAAACCGTAGAGAATCCTGCCGAAGCATTACAAAGCCTATCTGTAAGCAAAGAACAGCTTTAGAAGTCATTTACAGTTAGAGACAAAGTACTTTGGCCTCTAATTCTGATCTTAAATATGCAGAGGGGGATAGCTAATCGAGCAGTTGGAGAGACCCGTATCCTCTTTTATTTCTTTCTCAATCGTTTTCGTTTTACGATTAAAAAATACATGGGAATATTACCTGCGTTCTCCAACCATCCTAAACTTGAAAAACATAGAAATGAACATGGCTAGCAGCAGAAGCCATTGTGTTTATATATTCACAATCCTGCAAGAACATACTAAGCAGAAAAGGTTGAGTCTTCCCATATGACCATTTTTTATTTGACATTTTTTAAGACTGAGACTGTGGACAGGTCGAAGTCTGGTAAAGTAATTCTTGTAGACTTGGCGGGGTCTGAGAAAGTGGAGAAAACAGGAGCTGAGGGCAGAGTTCTAGAAGAAGCTAAGTCCATAAATAAATCCCTTTCTGCCCTTGGGAATGTAATAAATGCTCTCACTTGTGGTTTACCAGGAAAAGTAAACCACATCCCTTATCGTGATTCCAAGCTCACTCGAATTCTTCAGGATGCGCTTGTTAGTTTCTCTCCCTCGGATTGATCAAATGGTACCCCCACTTTATTTTTTTTTTTTAATAATTAAAGACATGTTGTCACTTGTTCACAGGGAGGGAATTCTAGGACTGCATTACTCTGCTGTTGCTCACCCAGTTCCCTCAATGCACCCGAGACCTTATCCACTCTTCGATTTGGTGCAAGGTACGCTATCCATTAAAGTATTTAAGCGCGGTCTCACGTCATTGAAAATATAGATATTCACAGGGTTGGATGGAATGACACTGTTTTATTCCATCCAACCCTGCTATGTAGAAAAGGGGATTGACTTCTTAAGTAGTTTTTTCCGATCGAGAGGAGAGATTCTACTAATGATCCATATCTCATTGAGGGACATGGTGTTGGGAGCAGGGCGAAACATGTAAAAACCTCCCCACATGTCGATTGCAGTGAAGAAAAATGCATCAAAGATTACTGTGCTTCCCGTCCACTAGCCGATGAGTCGTGCGCTAGAATTCTGACCCAGGTGAGAATACCGTAATTGATTTCCTTGTACCTCACCCTCACAGTGATCTTAATTCGTAAATCTCTATCGATACAGTTAAGGGAAAGAATGAATGTTGATGACGTAAAGTTACTAGAGGAATTATTCATACTAGAGGGCATTGTATTTGATCCTCAATCAGTTGAAGAACTGGAGTCAGATTATGAAGACCTTACTTTACAGACGATATCCTCACTACAAGCAGCCATGGAACAGGTCAGATCGACTGTTGTCGAGGTACAAGGAAAAGAGTGCCAAAAGCTATCTCATTTTCGAAAGAATTTATCTAATCGTTGCAGTTCATTACTTCATTTAACCTTTAGTGCCCTTTCAGTATCCTGTGCCTAGAAACCCTAGTACAAAGTTCGGGCTTTTACAAAAATTCACAAGACTCGAAACCGAAGAATAGCTAAGCAATATAATACTGTCGGGACTGAACCTTGACGGGATACGAATAGATCGTTATTCTGTGCTAAAATACATTTTGTTGCTCACTTAAGTGTTGATTTGGTGGTTTTACAGCTTAAAAGGGAGAATAGCATTCTCAAGGCGAAACTTAATGCTACCACCAAATCTGATGCATGCAAGGAAGTTAAAAATTCTGTTTTTACAAATATGATTTCAGGCATCCTGGCTTTTTTCCGGTAGCAGGTTGGTGGTTCACGCTGCCTCCTCAAGTTGCTCGCAATAACTTTTCGTTCATAGTTGGTGGATTTTTTTCCTTTTGGCCTGAATTCATCCTTAGTGTTATTACTTGACCAGACAAAGGAAAAAAAAAAAAAACCAGAATCCTTAGTATTGTTGACCTGTGAATAATATCAAAACTTGACTGGCGCGCTAAAGAGTTGCAAACTCGCAATGCAATATATTACCGTGTCAATAGGACTGTTTGACTTCTGTGTTTAACCAGGGCTGGCTGTCGTCTAATGCCTGCTTGCCAGGTCAATTCCTAGAGTGAACATTATCACGCTCTTGGTTCCATGTGAAAAATTCATTCCGCATGATCCGGCCCATTAAATTAGGGCACAACGTCCGTATCCGTATGATCTATATACTTAAAAAAATGATTTCTAAGATATTGTGTCTTTTAATGAGCAATTAATAAGATCTTTTAAAAAATATTTTTAATTAAGAGTGTAATTAATAAGATTTTTTAATTGAAACGTTTTATTAAATAAAAATAAATATGAAAAGAGCATGTAACTTTGAACATAATTTAGTCAAAGGTATTTTATAATATTGAACCAAGAAATACACACACATATATATAAATGATTTGGCTGTCCTCTGGATATCATTAGTCTTTACCCGTAAGTTCATGGCCTCTAGCAGATGATGATGATTTCTTCATTGTTATAATGTTGCTGTTTTTTTTTTTTTTAACCTCATTATGATGCTGGTTTGGCGCATTAATTTAAATAAGGTCACCACAAGCTCGTTAGTAAGAGAAAAGGAAAAAGAAAAGTACGCCTTTCATTTCTATATATATAAAAAAATAAATTATATTACATAATTTTAAAAAATTAATTAATTATAATAATTATGTCTGAAAATAAAAAAATAAACTAAATTATCTTATGTTAATTAACATAAATATACATTAATTATTTTTTGTTAATATAAATTAAGAGAGTTTGCTAAAAAAATAGTAAATTAGGAGGAGCGATTTTGCAAATGTGTAATATTTTTTTTTTAAAATATATAATTTTGTTTATAAAAAAATAAATTAAAAATAATAGTTTTTTTTTTAATAAATAGAAACGGAGTGAAAAACAAAAGCAACAGGCTACAGTGGTAAAGATACCTTATGGCCAATTCAAATTATAAAAGTGTGGTGAGATAAGAACAGTGTTTCAAGTTTAAATCTTCTTAATATTTTTTATGAAAAAAAACAAGAAGAGAATAAAGGAACTTTATGGATAAGGGAGACCGTGCTTTCTTGTCTTTAGACTGTCGTCCATTAAAACTAGATTCACATGCACTACAGTAACGTTTAAACGGAAGGTACGGTTATCATTTTGCAGATTTGAGATTTTAACCCTATGTCCATGTGGAGTGGAGAGTAATGAGAGGTTTATGACGGGCATTGGTGGATGGTGAAGTGATTGGCAGGAGCACACTCCCTTGAAAGAGGGAGATTGTGGATTCAATTCTTAATGTAGATGAAGGGCGAGTGTGTTACTCTTTCTTCAGAAGTAAGGGTCAGGCATGTAAATGTATGTGAGTTGTGTTTGTTTGAGTCAAGATTATATAGATCAAATTAATAACACTTTTTATAAATAAATGAAGAAGCAGCGTCCCTTGCTTTGCGGAACAGTGCCCTGTCAAGTTGTCAATACCTCTTACTATGAGAGTAGACAATAATCTCACAGCTTCTTTCCTCCTCTTCTGGGCAGGGGCTTGCAGTCGCAGGCTTCCATTAGCGTAATTTAATCACCGTTGAGGAGGGGCAAGTACAAGGGTGTGATTTTATTATTAAACGGCATAACATGGTAATTCAAACAGAAATTCAAGTTATGCTGGTCAAGGGGTTTCAGGATGATTGAAGTTTATTTTGATTATGTTAGCAATTAATCTTATCACAAGGGATTACAGTGCAGGTGCAGGCTATCTTTTTTTTAATACTCACTCTATCTCAAATTATAAAATTTTTTTAAAATAATTTATCTATTTTAAAATATAAAATATTTTAGATAAATTAAGATTTTATTAAATACATCAACTTCAATATTACTCTTTCACTCTTTCTAATTAATTTACATCCCTTCTCTTTTCAATGTATTAAATTATGGATATTTTTAAAAGTTTATATTTTTATTTTAAAAAGATAAGATTGTTAAGTATATTTAATGAGATTTATTAATATATAAAATTTTATTTAAAAATATTTTATAATTTAAGACGGAGTGAAGTGAGTATTTATTTATAATGCTTGTAATCTTATTTACAGGCGGGACTGGTTAGTTTCAATTAACTTTGTGTACGAAGATGTAATTACTTGTGCTCATTCTTTTACCAGGAAAGCACGTAACATTGAGAGCTCTGTTTGCATCTTTAATTATATCCCACTTTGACTATTGCAAGGACGGAACGATGAATGATTAGTAGAGATGAAAAAGTGGGTGAGGCCAAAGTTCAATTTCTTAACTTTTAACCCTTATTGAAAGAGAGAATGGCCGGGTTCAGAAGTCTGATTATTAAAAAAATAAAAAATAATATTATAATTTAATATTGTTTTTTATAAAATAATTTAATTCAACATTATAATACTTAATATTATAATTTAACTTTAAAATTTAACATAAACTAAATGAAGATCTAGCATCATCAAGAAAATAAATAAAAAATTTAAAAGTTTAAATACATGTTAGTTGATGCTATCGGAATTCATAACAAAGTTTTAAAAACAAAATAAATGAGGCATATTGATATAATTTTCACAAAATAAGATGAGAGATTATAATTTTTAAATCAAATTAAAATCTTAAAAGCGAGTATTAAATTGAAATTCGTACATTCATGGCTTAAAAAAAGTTCTATACCGGAAGAAAAATTACCTAAGAGTAAGAAAACTAAAAAGCCAAAGCAATATAATGTTAAGAGTTGGATATTGAGTCGAGAGACGCTGAGTCAAGAGATAAGTGAGAGAGGCGATTTGAGAGATGGAGAGATTTAGAGGACGAGAAAAGTGGCAAGACAGCTAAAGGAAAGGAGAGGCGGGAGGAAAAGGTGAGTCAAGAGATGAAAAGAGCTAGAGAACTTGAAATGGTCAAATACTTATGATTTTTTCTCTTATGCCAAATAATGCATTTTAAGGTAGAAGGGAAAAAAATAAAATAAAGCTTAGAGGACTGCTTAAGCTAAAGTTCTTTTTTCAAAACTTATCACGGTCGAGCTCAAAAGTCTAATTATTTTAAAAAATTTTTATTTTAAATTCAAACATTTATTTAAATAGGGTCTCTAGGTTTAGTTTTCTAAGCCCATCTTTTATTTTTGATTTTATTGATTGGCCTCTCTTTTATAATTTGCTCTTTATTTCTGCATTTTCAGTTTATGAATGCGTTTCAATTTTGATTTTTTTAAAAAAATAAATTTAAATAAGAGTATTCCATCATCGGTTTTCCAACATAAGAGTGTCTTTTCTATTTTTTCTGACAACCAAAACTATAAATTCAAGAAATATTTATTACACTTTTTTTCAAATTATCTTTCATGAAATTAATGTTATTTTTATTTGACAAATTTATTTTATTAATTATAAAAATAAAAGCAAGCCTTTTCTCTTGTCTGAGACTTCACATAAGCTCTTTGAAGCAAGTGGCAACCGATCGACTTTGTATATACCCCTTTCCATTTTATTTATAAATTATATTTTAAAATATTTATTTAATCTTATTTATAAATTACGGTGTGATTTTTTAAATAATATTTAAAAAATATTTTTAAAATTACTCATTAACATCCTATTACTTTTTATATTTATTGTATAAGAATATATTTAAAATTAAATATATTTTTATTTTAATTTTATATTTTTATATTAATATTAATAAAGTTAATAGAAGTGATTTATAAAGTTGAGCGAAAGTGTAAAAGGCTATGAAAACCACGGCGGAATAGATGAAGCAATAATTGGTGTCCACCTGTCAGGAACGAGGCAGTGGGTTATTCGGTTTCACACTAGTGAGTGCTACGTGATATGGCTTCTTCTAAGAGTGTCATGTTCCAAGTTGGCTTACTTTCCGTCTGTTTGGGCATCGCAAATTCAGTTGACTTCAATTACCCAGCAGTTTTCAACTTCGGTGATTCAGACTCAGACACAGGCGAACTTGTGGCTGCTCTGGGCATTCAGCTTGCCCCACCCAACGGACTCCGCTACTTTAAAACACCGTCTGGGAGGTTCTGCGATGGTCGTCTAATTGTAGACTTCCTCAGTAAATTCCTTTTCATTTCTCCAAATTATTAGTGCCATTGTTTGCAATGCTCCCGTTATGTTGGTTATGAATAGGCTATGACTATCTGAGAGATAGATGTTTTGAACATGTCATGGCTTGTTGCCTTTCCGTTTCATTTCTCATCTGATAGTTGCGTGTGCGCTTTGGTTGATTCATATGATTGCCGCAGTGGATGCAACGGACTTGCCCTTCTTAAATGCCTATCTGAATTCAGTGGGGTTCCCTAGTTTCCGGAAAGGTTGCGACTTTGCAGCAGCAGGGTCAACTATCCTTCCTGCCTCTGCATCATCAATCAGCCCATTCTCCTTTTGGATTCAGCTCTCTCAGTTTTCCCGTTTCAAAGCTCGGGTTCTTGAGCTGATAGCTAAAGGTTTCTGCTTTGCTTACATTATCAAATATCTTAAAAAATTTACTTCATTTCATTTGTTCGCCCCAGTGATGCATGCTAGAAAAAATTCATCATGTTCCACTAACACACGTGAATAAATTCTTACAGCACTAGTGGCTATACACTACTAATCATCAGGGTATCGTTTCAGGTAACGAATCTAATAAGTATGTTCCAGCAGATGATTATTTCAAGAAGGGGTTATACATGTTTGACATTGGCCAAAACGATCTTGCGGCTGCATTTCATTCAAAAACATTGGATCAAGTACTTGCCTCAATTCCAACGATCCTGTTAGAATTTGAATATGGAATAAAGGTTGGCGTCAATGCATTTTCGATTCAGATTATCTGATTTCTAAATTTAGCGCTCAATATATTGATTTGATAAATTTAATTAATTTCAGAGGGTGGACACATTGTTTGATAGAGTACTGATTATAGTGAGATAATGGATAATTTGAAAAGTTAGAAATATAATAGGAATAAATATTATTTTATTTTATTTTATTTTAGATATTTTTATTTAATAATATTGTTTAAATTTTGATTAAATATATAGTTATCTAGATTTTATTTAATAATATTTAGTTCTTTAAATTTTATTTTGTATTTTATCTAGGTATAGATTCTAGGAGATTTTATTCATTTTTTATTTAATTATTTAATTATCTAAATTTTATTTATTATTTTATATTGTATTTAACATTATAAATATGCTTAGTAACTTAAAAGCAAGCGTATTTATTGAGAGAAGTATAAAACGAGATTCTTATTCTATATTATCTTAATAGATTTATTATTCTTTTTTATCAATTCTATTGTTCTTTTATTAATATTATGAAATTGGATTCTGATTTCATATATTAATAAAAATTTATCTTTCTCACCTCTCTCTATCCATCTTGGATCCTATCATGGTTTTACTTTGTCTAGCATAGAAATAAATTCTGACTCTGGGTTATCTGGATACTAGAAACTGTTTGTGCAGGGGGCCAGGCATTTCTGGATACACAACACAGGTCCTCTCGGATGCCTGGCTGAGAATGTTGCCAAATTTGGAACTGATCCATCAATTGTTGACGAGCTAGGATGCGTCCGCATGCACAACCAAGCTGCAAAAACCTTTAATTTACAGCTTCATGCTCTCTGTAGGGAATTGCAGGGCCAATTTCCAGATGCCAATGTCACATGTGTCGATATCTTTACCATAAAGATAAACCTCATTGCAAATTATTCTAAATATGGTTAGTATCTATCAGTAAACTGGGATACTTCTTAGTTCCACTTATTATGGCTTGTTAATATCCACCAGTCATTATGGTGAAACAATAGAGTCAATGTTGTGTTTGCAGGATTTGCACAACCTATTATGACTTGTTGTGGGCATGGAGGACCACCATTGAACTATGATAGTCGAGTTTTTTGCGGGCAAACGAGGATCTTGAATGGGACTAAAATAACAGCGAAAGGCTGCACTGATAGTACTGAATATGTCAACTGGGATGGCATTCATTACACTGAGAAGGCAAATCAATATGTAGCATCTCAAATTCTCACCGGAAAGTACTCCGACCCTCCCTTCTCTGACAAAATGCCATTCCTTCTGACGCACAATTTCTGAAGTTTCAATACAGTTTTTTGTACCAATCCACCGAACTAAAAACCGAGGGCATATTATTTTGATCTAAGTATCTGTATCTATCCCACCTGTCATCATATATGAGTGTAATTTTGTTGTTGGAAAGAGGGAACTTCCACAATCCCAACTATCACTTTCGAAATTCAGGTGTCGTGATTTCATAATATATTGAAATCCTTTTAAAACCTTAAAGATTTTACTAATTACCAAAGCCCTTCACCATTAGACATCCAGATATTGATATGATCATATATTATTAAAGCATACTTTGCCGCTACAAGTCAAAAGTATGGTATCATTCTCAAGCTTTCTCATGCTCAATCGTAAGATAACCACGGTTACAACTGCAGATTATACACTTGCTTTTAAGAGAGTAAGAATTTGAAAGACGTCTCATATACATAACTATTTTCTTATTTTTTGGATACATAAGCATAATATTGTGCCATAGGAACAACGAAGGCAATGACTAACAAGCCTCCTACCACAAGAGAGAACTGTCCACGTTTCTCTTCTGTCTCTTCCCTGGATTTGAAGTTAGACTCTCGTTTGTTGTCTTTAACTTTTGGCCCACCAGGATCTGGAAGCCCATCAATGGCTGCAACTAGCCGCTTGGCCGTACTATAAATAGCCTCATTGTACTTCTCATCCGTGGCCAATACTGCATATACAAACCAGATGCCTTGATCAGGTTGTTGTTTGTTCCCAACCCTTGAAAGAAAAATTATTTAAGCTACTCTTTGATAATGCAGCTTTCAAACAAAATCAAGATTGATGATTTCTTACACCAGCAGTGAGGAAAATTATGAAATTTTCACGGAAAAGAATGATCTGTGTCAATTCCAACAACAGGAGTCAACTATTCATGACGTCCATTCAAATTGACAGCTTTTTAATGTGAAGCTCGGTAAAATGAAAGAGGATGCATAATTTAAACAGAGACATAGAGGTGCAAAATCTTAAGTTGACTAAAAACCTTATAGGCATCAACATCCCACAGTAGTAGATCAGTTAGCTAGAGCTGCTCATTATTAAGATAATTATTTTTGTACGTTTGATCAACCTCCATCACGTGTTTGAGGTAACGGATGATGATAGGACTAGATCTTAAATGCTTTGTTTGTTGTATGCTCTTTGATTGATCGTTAGTTTTCAGTTTCCATTAAAAAAAAAAAAACCCTCAGTTCACCCTTCCCACTAAACTGGAAGATCGTAAATGCTTTGTTTGTTGTATGCTCTTTGATTGAATGTTTGTTTTCAGTTTTCATTGGGAAAACAAAACAAAAGAAATCCCACAGTTCACCCTTCCCACTAAACTGAAAGTCAAAATAATGTAAGCCTCCATACCTTTTATCAAGCACAAAGCATGTCATGGATATTATATAGTCTGGATTCATTATTTTATATTTCGAACCACAAACTGGATCCCAAAACAAAGTCAGGCAGATATGTTGAGTAATGAACAATTACACATTGAAGTTCGCTGCCCAAGCTTTATCTGGAAATGACAATCGTTAACCTAAGTTCGCCGTGTATTTATACGGAAACTTTATCTGCAGTGCACAGTGAAGCACTAACAAATGAGGGATAAGAAGTACCTGGAAGGTTCTCCGATACAGCGGCATCAAGGACCTTTTCTCCAACAGCTTGGACAAATGCTGGACCGCCTGTGACCGCTCCTTCTTTCTGACTTGTTACAAGAACCACAATACCCTTATTGTTTCCCTCTTCTACAGTGGGATACCAACGCTCCAAAACTTGGTCAGCATACTCAAAAGCATCAGCTTTGCTCTGTAACCACCTCACAATTCAAAAAAACATTCATCATTTCGTTTATCAGCACTTACGGTTAGCATATAAAGGCAGGGTAAACCCAATTATAGAAAAACCTTAAAAATTAAGTTCCCAAATTATTATATCAATTCTTCTTTACCTTCAAGTAAGTAAATGAAAATTAATAAAATCGTTACAAAGTTAGCCTTTTCACGATCCGTATCAATTAACCAAAACATTACGAAATTAGAAACAGCGCATTTGACAGGGATTGCTTATCTTACACATTCTCATGACTATTGAAGCAAGGAAAGAAAGAGTATTAGCATAACAAAGAGGTCCGTTTAAAAGTCTTACAACTAACCGTGAGCTTTCGAACTGTGATAAAATTGATGCGGAAATTCTTCCTGGATTCCAAATCCGACATCAACTGTTTCAAATCCGACCTTGTCACTCGACTAAGCACTCCTGCATCATCAAAGATGTACGAATCTTTGGGTGGCCCCTCGTTAAGCACGTCGAACTCAGAAGCCAGCGCATTGTCACTGTGCAATAGCGGGCTGAAGTTGAGCGCCAAGGAAATAGCCAAAGCTGCTAGTCCCTGTTGAGCTTGGATCAACCAGCTGGTGCATTTAGGTAAGGATAGCTTGAGAGACAATGTTTGAAGCTTTCTGTGACCGGAAGGGAAGGGTTTGATGCAAAAGAGAGAATTCGACTTGGGTGGAGTAGAGGGAGAAGACGAAAGGATTTTGGAGGATGAAGCTTTGAATTTCGAGGGAGAGAGCGAGTGAGGAGAAAAAATGGTTTCCATGAGGGAGATTAGCAGATCGGAGAGTCAGATTAACGAGGAAGAAGGATTCATCAAAAGAAAGTTGGTGCTCTCTTGCCTACCACATCTTTCTCTGTCTCATGATGCTTCAGATTTTTGGTGGCATCCATTGGTTGGCTTTTGGATAACGTCTATTGCCCGCGAGGGTCTTTTGGTCCGTACGACCATCAAGTTATCCTTTTTTCCCAGTTTTACTTATTAAATCTTTTTTTGGAAATGACTTTTTACATGTCATATTTTTATTAATAAAAGAACAAAATAATCAATAACACAATTTGTTAATATAAATTAGAGAGAAAAATTTATTATCAAATTTTGGTATATAAAATACGCTGCTACTATAAATAAATCTTAATTTTTAGTGGGAAATATAATTTCCTCTATATATTTAAGTATTTAAGCAATTAAGTACGAGTTGAAATGACTTTGGCTACCGCTTTTGCATCCTAATGCCCAAGAAGCACTTTACCCAAAATGCATAGTGTAATAGAAATATCTATAGAGCAAGTCTTCTTGCATTAGTAACGGCCCTGATAACTGTCCTATTCTCTTTCAAGGCCATTCCTCTCTCCCCAAATCTTATCCACAACCCTAATCCCAGCATCTACAAGTCCTTCTCCTCCGTCCCCAAACCCATGATTTCTAACCCCAACTCCAATCCCGACCTCCAAGGGGCACTTGCTGCACAAAACTTGTTCGCTCTGCATCACACTAATTCCTCAACTTCTCTTTTCTCATTATGATATTGATGTCGCAACATTTTCTTAATATTGAGACTTTCCTTTTCCTTGGGTGGCAAGGGTTATGCCTTCTGAGTTTTTTTCGAATGGCTAAATTGCCCTTCCATCATTTGTGGGATTACAATGCAGGACTTTCTCTTTATGGAGACAAGACAAAGCCAAAGACTTTTGCTACACGGTTTGCATCTTTAGAGAGGAACTGAACAGTGACTCGTGACAACTATAAGCCACAAACATTATTAACATATGCTTTGCATGCGCATTTGATTCTTGGTCGTAGAAAAGCATTTCTGGGAGGGACAATCATGAATCCTGAACCAAATCAGTTTAATGTGTAGATACTCTTTTTCTTCCCTTGGATAAAAGGAGATATTATACACATAAACAGCTACAAATAGACTTGAGGCATGACACCAAATATTAATTTCTTCTCGGTCTTTTCAACTGCTGAAAGAAATACTCCTTCTCTCTGAATGTTTTACTTGACACGTGGAACTGTCTGCATGGCCGAATTATTCTTTCAAGCAGTTTTGGTGTTATCTGCAAGCAACCATTTTGCACCGACTATCTGCATCCTGTTATGCATACATTTGACTTTCAGAGAAATAATGTTGCAATGCAATGTCAGCTTTTCTAATTCAAGACGAATTATTTCTATGAATTTGGAAGACATGAAGAGCACGCATAGCATTAATGGCAGATGTTAGCGGCGGAAAGGTTTGTACTACATTACCTATATGACTGACACATCTATATCTAGCCCCCTACCTCAATACACAGCAAAACTAACAGATTCATATTCTTTTCGAAATTTAATTAACGCCATATTTTCTAGGCAATTATTGCTGGAGCTATGGCACCACAGTCCAAGTGGGACGGTGATGGTGTGAAACTTCGTTGCGCTGCTATATCATTACCAATTCTTTAGCCATTTCCTTGAATTTGTTAGCTGGGTAGGTTAGATCACTCACGCCTTCAATGCTTCGGTTCTTAGTCGTTTTTATGTTGAGTAATTTTGCTTACGTGTTTGAGGCAAAGTAGCCTATAAAATCTTCACAGGAGATCATTGTTCTTGCTTTTTGGCGACTGGTATTTTACGTGGCCTTCAATGTATGAACAAGTTGAAGAGGAGTGTCATTTTTATTAATTCTCTAAAATTTATTTTAAAACTGGAATAAGTGATAATTTTATATTTTTAATTTCATTACAGATTTCATATTTACTATTTTCATTGAGCCTCATCCCTATTATATTTCTTTTTAACTATTGGCCCCTGCGAATCTTCCTCATAAGTGAACTAATAGCCATTTTATTTTACTAAAAATATAAATAATAATTTATTATTTTATGAACTTTTATCCCTTCATAATTAAAATTAAATTTCCAAAAAAAATCCAGTCAGCTAAATATTTATTTTTTTACCTTTCATTTAAATTAAATTTATAATTTCAGTGCATACCTAACACTTACTATTTTTACTACAAGTCTTAATGTCTTATATCCACCATTATTTTCTAGTATAGATCCTACACCTATTATTTTTATCATGAATTCCACATGATTTTTTAAATTATAAGAATTTTAATTTTTTACATTTTTAAAATTATATTTGTAATCTCATAACAAATTTCATTTTCATCTTTTTTTAATCATATTTATCATTTTTTATTAAGTCTTAACTCTATATATATTTTTATTATGGACCCACACCTATTTCTTTCAATAATGTGGGTCTCACTGTATCATTCAAAACAGCAAAGCACTATTCAAAGGTCCGAAGATCAACAATGCTTTGATGTGCTTTACAATGTACTTGAGTTAAGATGAAATTGTTCATCATCCGTTGATAAATAGTATAGTTTTATTGTGACATGGATGATATTATTATTAGTGGTCGGTGGGGTTGTTACATTTGTAGACATGCCATTCTGCACGGGAAGCACCTGGGATGAGATAGCAAATCTCAGAACTATCAATTTTAAGTTTCAGTTTAGGAAGGAAGTAACCCATCACGTGAGTTCAATGTTCAATAGGCCTGGTGAGGTTTGCGGTGCCAGCAGCATGTGAACCTTGATCATGAGTTATGGATAGACTATAACTAAATAACTAATATAGCGAAGACCTATCTAATTACATTGAGATGCAGCAGGAGCATCTTCACGAAGTTAAACAAAGTATGGGTCAAATGCTTGTCAGACGTCAACCTTCACAAATTATCCTACCATAAATAGGAAGCGGAACTCATCTGTGGAGTGGCAAGCTATCACCGCAGCATGGGATACTTTTCAACAAGGTTTAGGTAGGAATCTTGTAAGTGGCATGAATACAAAATTTGTTCTTGAATGATGGTCTTTGCTTGAAAAACTATTAATTTTCTAGGTGGACAGAATCAATAACAGAATTAATCCTTCTGATGTTGTTAGTAATTACGTTCTGCCAAATGGCCTTCGGAATGTGGATATGTGGCGTCACATCATTCCTCCCTGGGTTATCAATAAAATTTAGCAAATTAGACCGCCAAGGGGGGAGGAGTATATAGCTTTTGTTGGAGACAAAATTCCGATGGTAGGTCCAGTGTTAAAGCGGTATACAATTTCATTCAGAACCAGACTCTAGAGAGTCAATGAACCGATGTGGGCGAGACTGTTGAAGTGGTCACTGTCAGAGAAAATCAAATTCTTCATGTGGCAACTGACTCATGAGATACTTTTAAGGATTAAAGGGCATATCTTCCTTTAAACTTTTATTTCAGGTGTGATATTGTCCTTGAACTTTAAAAAACGACACAATATCACCCAACCGTTAACCACACCAACCTTTGACCGTTAAATTTGACCAAAACATGCTGATGTGGCAAGTTGGATAAGTTGATTTGGACTCACATGCAACATTAGGATCGATATTGATCAGGACACTTTTGAGCCTCATCTTTCTTGTTTAGTAAACAAGAAGAATAATTTTTCTTCAGAGTTCAATCAATTAACTATTTATAAAAGCTTAAATTAACTATTCTTCAGAGAGACATGACAATTAGCTAGATACTTAGTTACCGTCAACTCCTCTTTAAGCCAAGCTTTTTGGTCCACCATTAATGGCGGAAGAGCTTCAGCTTGAGCTTAAGGATTTCTCCTTTTGCGACATTAGCAGCCTTGTTGATCCCCAATAACAAATCAAGACCCAGATCTAATGACAACCCCCAATAACAATTTTCTCCAGAGAGAAGAGGCAGACCCAGAAATCTGATTGGAGTTAGGGTCTGAGAAGATAATTTTATCCAAGAAAACGCACGCTCAGAAACCTAGCAGAAAATACAAGAGGAGGAGGCAGCTCGTCGCACTGAAAATGGTTGCCGAGGACAGAAAGTTGCAACTTGTAGTTTTGAATAAGTATGCTCCGAAGAAGCCATGGCTGGGTCACTCCGCACCACTGCCGTAGCCAACGCCACCATCAAGATTCAAACAATATTCATGGGTTAGACGAAACTCTGAAGAGGGTGTGTGAGACATTTCAGATTGAAGAAATCTATGGAGGTGAAGAGCCAAAGAAGGTGAAGGAACGGTGGCTTGTGATTCTTCCATTGTTGGTGCTACAAGGGTGTGCAAAGAAGAATGTGACCAAGGGAACAAGATTTCTACTGCAGGGGTGTGTGAGGAGCCACGTCCCTCTATTTTTGTCCACGTGTGAGTCAAAGTCATCTTCTTTATCTTGCCACATGTATATTTCTTGGTCAAAGCAGTCTATTTAACGATCATTATTATTGTTGAGGTGATATTGCACTGTTTTTTAAAATTTTAGGATAACATTATACCTAAAAAATGTTTAGAATATTAGTGCACCTAGAGTAAAAGTTTTGGAACAAATATGATTTTAACTTTACTTTTAACCAACTCTTCCAAAGCTCAACATGGTCTTAGAAACAATTATAACTGTCCCCTTGAGTGTATATGTGCGGTGAGTGTTATATACATCCTGCGTGATTGTGAGATTGCCAACAAAGTGCGGAAAACACATTATTTCTACTAATGATTATCATGCATTTTTCTCTAGTGACTTGCAAGGGTGACTAGATTGGAACTCCAAACATAACCCAGGCTATAGCAGATTTCAACGCTGGCCATGGACAAAAATATTTGGCCGTGCTTGCTGGATAATTTGAAAAGCATTATGCAGCAGAATTTTTGAGAAATCGACTATTACACCTCAAGATGTATTGTACCAATGCATTGGGCAATTGTCGAGGACTCAAATGGTCACCATTATCAACAGGTGATCTTCAAAGGGCTTACAGAGGATACCCTAAGACGGACTCTACCACCAGCAAGATCTGTTCGTCTAGATGCGGACGCTTCTATCAACATACATGGACACGCGGCTTGCGGAGGTGTCATAAGGAATACGAATGGAGACTGGAACTTAGGATTTCAAGGCAGTATTAGATTAACTTCCATTGTTGAAGCTGAGCTAATTGCCATCAAAACAGGTCTCGAGGTAAGCCAGCAAGTTGGTTTAGAAGCTGTGCAAGCATTCCCAAATTCGCTCGAGGCTTAGAATTACATATTCCGTGACTATGAAACTTGACATCGCCATACGGAATGTACTAAGAGAAGTTACTAGGTGCGCAAATCAGCTTGCACGGCATGCTCATGAAGCTGGAACCAAGAACTGAACTAATTTGGGATTGCCCCCCGAACTGTATTACGTTGATTTTGTCTAATAGGAACTATTCTGTCTAGTTTTTCTAAGTTTTCAAGCTAGTCTTGCCATGTGATTAAAAAAAATTGCACGATAAATGATAAATGATAATTTTATATATTTTTATCCTTTTAATTTAGACTTTTAAATATTTATTTGAGGCTAATTAAGTTTAATTCGATATTATTTGATTTTATCAGCCAATATTCAGTTTTGGAATTTCAACTAACTAAATCTTGGATTTTAAAATATAAATGATATCTTTAATATTTTTGCACAGGTACTATTTAATTTTATTTTATTTGTGCAGATTTTCTAGATTCAATTTAAAAGATATTGATAGAGAATATTTTGGATAAGAAGAATATGAGCATGCTTGGAAATCAAATCAAGAATTAAATCTTTAAAATTTTGTTTAAATTTACTTTAGGTATTTTAGTGTAGTTTTTAATTAGGATTATTTAGGATAATTTTATCATTTTAATAAATTATTAGATTTTATTGGAAGAGACGCAGCATAGGAGGCGCATGACATTATATATATTATATATATAAATGAAAGAGAAGACTTGGATGGAGGTATCATGAAGAGAAGGGGAAAATAGGATAGCAGCGATCGCAGTTCATTTTTTTCTTCAATTTCTCTGACGATGGCTTGTCAATTTCTCCTCTTATGTTCCTTGATTTTTAATTCTATGGATAGCTAAATTTTTAGTGTGATCAATCACAAATTATGATCCTAAATTTTAATCAGAGTCTTTAATATTCAGGAAAGATTTTATTTTAGCTTTATTCCAATTTTCTCTTCTTCTCTCTACCTCTAAATTTTATGCTTTAATTACTATTACTGATTAGAGTAGTTTTATTGCATAATTTTTGAGTTATAAATTTTATCTGAGGTTTTACTTGCTATAATCGATTGATATAGCATTATAAGAGTAATTTGGCTTAACTTGGGTGATTATCCATGCTTTGTTTCTGGTATAGCTAACATAGAACAGTTGTTAGGTTGTGGGTTAAAGAAGATCTCAATTAATCTATAACTTAATCTCTTGTTTAATTCTTGAATGTTAATTTGAAAAATATATAAAAAAATCAGAATAATAAAGGTAAATAAAATTGATTTGTTTGGTGGACGAGGAAGATTAAATTTAAGTGATTGGGTTGTAATTGATTACGCTGCTTGTGCTTGATAATTTTCTCAGTTGAATTTTCGTTATTTATCTAATTTTAATTTAGATTTTTTTAATTAATTTCATCATAAAAAACCTCCCATCATTTACCTTTTCATAATCATAATTCAAATAGTTGCTCTATTGACTCTTAAGGAGACGACCTAGGTTGCGCTTTACTGCAAAATCTAATTTTTATTAATTTTGAAGCTATTCGACAGTAGTATCAATAAACCATCACCGAGTGTTATGATTATCAAAATCATGCGGGCTAGCCTTCTGTAGAGCACAGTTGCAACCCTCAAAACTGATTTAATACAAGTTTCACCAAGGGATCTTATTATCTTTGAGAACTATCACTTATTCCAGTCCGAAAATAAATTCTAGAAAATTAACAAAAATGACACTCACTTCTCTTCAACTTGTTCATACGTCGAAGGCAATGTAAAATTCCAGTCACCAAAAAATAAGACTAACGATCTCCTATGAAGATTTTATAGAAGTCTTCTTCGCCTCAAACATGTAAGCAAAATTACTCAACATAAAAAACACTAAGGGCTGAAGCATTGAAGGCGTGAGTGATCTGGCCTACCCAGTCAACAAATTCAAGCAAATTGCTAAAGAATTGTTAATGATATAGCAGCAGAACGAAGTTTCACACCATCACCGTCCCACTTGGATTGTGGCGCCGTAGCTCCAGCAATAATTGCCTAGAAAATATAGCGTTAATTAAATTTGGAAAAGAATATGAATGTGTTGGTTTTGCTGTGTATTTATTGAGGTAGGGGTTTGATATAGATGTGTCGGTCATATAGGTAACATGGCACAAACCTTTCCGCCGCTAACACCTGCCATTAATGCTACGTGCTCGTCATCTCTTCCAAATTCATAGAAATAGTACGTCCTGAAATCAGAAAAGCTAATATTGCAGTGGAATAATATTTCTGTGAAAGTTAAATGTATGCGTAACAAGCAGCGCTTCAAAATGGTTGCTTGCAGATAACACCGAAACTGCTTGAAAGATTAATTCGGCCATGCAGACAATTCCACGTGTCCAGTAAAACATTTAGAGAGCATGAATATTTCTTTCAACAGTCGAAAACACCGAGAAGGAATTAATATTTGGTCTCATGCCGTAAGTCTATTTGTAGCTGTTAATGTGATCTCCTTCTCTCCAAGGGGAGAAAAAGAGCATCTACACATTAAACTAATTTCATCCAAGATTCATGACTGGCCCTCCCCACAAGTGCTTTGCTACGGGCAGTAATCCTTGACATTTCAGAATTCCCTCAACTGTTAGATAGTTCTATTCTAATCCTTTTGAAATCGAATTTACCTGAAACCATCCTCTTCCTTGATTTTTATTGTTCGAGCAGAGAACAGTGTTGCCCCTCCTGCAAGGCAATGGGCAGACTTAAATACCATAAGTAAGGCATAAAAATGTTTTTGACGAGGAGAATATTGATGCTGGGGATTTCTTCTTCTGAACTTTTTAAGGGGCAAGGGAGTAATATCAGCGTGCAATGTTGGTAGGTCATGTCATGTGTGCCAGCGAGTGTTGGATGGGACGTTGTTCTGTGTGTATAAGACTTACATGCGCAGAGTATTTTGGAGGCTGAATTGCCGGGGTTACTCGCTGGTGTGGAAATGGCTATAAGAAGCTTTGGGTTGAGCTCACTCTCATGTTGCTGCTAGTTTAATCAGGGTGCGCACTTTCCAGTTTATCCACTAGATCAGAGGTCTGTTGGAAAAAGACTGGCATATTTGTTTAAAGCATGACGATGATGAAGGGGTATGGTGGCTGATTGTTTGGCTGATGCAGTGTGGAAAAGGGACAACCTAAACCTTAAAGACAAAGCAAAGACAAAACGATCTTATTGCAGAACAAAGGAAAGCAAGCAAACATAATTTAAATAAAAAATTAAACCTGGAACAAATATTCTTGCCGCATTCTTCAAAGAGCCTAAATCAGTTATGTCTTGTGCCTGCTCTAATCAATGAAGGATATGTAAGCTCCTAAAACGTTTACATGAAAAACCAAGGGAACCGGATCAAACATCAATTACAGTAACCAGTGATAACGTTAATAAAGCTGCATTGACTGTCTAATTACCTCTAAGAAGGTGATTTTTAGTTGATTGGTTGGGCGAGTAATAACGCTGAGAACCTCGTATCTGTTTCAACCAAAGAATCAGCCTGAAGTGCAAGATGTAGTTAACGACTACTATGGAAATTTATTTGAACCTTGGACAGAGTAACTTCAAATTTTTTCCCTCTTGGATACAGAGGTATCAAATATGCGTGCAAAGCATATGTTAATAATGTATGTGGCTTAAAGTTGTCACGAGTCACTGTTAACCTCCTCTCTAAATCTCACGTGTTCTCTTAAAGAGCATAACAGGAAAATAAGTAGGGAGTTCAATAATAAGAATACCCATCGGGTGATGCAAACCGTGCAGCAAAAGTCTTTGGCTTTGCCTTGTCTCCATAAAGAGAGAGTCCCGCATTATAATCCTACAAGCGATGGAAGGGCAATTCAGCCATTCGAAATAAAAAAAAACTCACAAGGCATAACCCTTGCCACCCCAGGAAAAGAAAAATCTCAATATCAAGAAAATGTTGCAACATTGATATCATAACAAGAAAAGAAAACATAACAGCAGACTCTCGTCATCAGTTGGTCGGTGAATTTACCTCGGGTTCATTGATGTCCTGGAACTCAGGTGGGACGCGAATGGCAAACCCATCGCCATAGAATTGAAACCAGGATTTCGTATTCTCAATGCTAGAAAGGAGTGATTTGGAGGGAAGAGCTTCAGCTGAAGATTGCGCAAGTGGAAGTTGAGGAATTAGGGTGATGCAGAGCAAGGAAGTTTTGAGTAGCAAGCACCTCTTGGAGGTCGGGTTAGAGTTGGGGTTAGAAATTAAGTTGACTAAACTTAAGTTGACCAAATACCTTATAGGCATCAACATCCCAGAGTAGCAGATCAGTTAGATAGAGCTGCTCATGATTTAGATAATCATTTTTGTACGTTCGATCAACTCGCGTCACGTGTTTGATGAGACGGATGATGATAGGACTAGATCTTAAATGCTTTGTTTGTTGTATGCTCTTTTATTGAATGTTAGTTTTCAGTTTCCATTAAGAAAAAAAAAATCCCACGGTGCACCCTTCCCACTAAACTGGAAGATCTTAAATGCTTTGTTTGTTGTATGCTCTTTGATTGAATGTTTGTTTTTAGTTTTCATTAAAAAAGGAAAAAAAAAAATCCCAGTTCATCCTTCCCACTAAATTGAAAGTCAAGATAATGTAAGTCTACATCAGCTCTGAAAGGGTCATTCAATCAAAATCTGCGACAACCTTTTATCAAGCACAAAGCACGTCATGGATATTATATAGTCTGGATTCATTATTTTATATTTCGAACCACAAACTGGATCCCAAAACACAAAGTCAGGCAGATATGGTTGAGTAATGAACAATTACACATTGAAGTTCACTGCTCAAGCTTTATCTGGAAATGACAATCGTTAACCTAAGTTCGCCATGTATTTATCTGGAAACCTTTCTGAGACTCTTTGGTGACAATATCTGGAAACTTTATCTGCAGTGCACAGTGAAGCACTAAAAAATGAGGGGTAAGAAGTACCTGGAAGGTTCTCCGATACAGCGGCATCAAGGCCCTTTTCTCCAACAGCTTGGACAAATGCTGGACCGCCTGTGACCGCTCCTTCTTTCTGACCTGTTACGAGAACCACAATACCCTTATTGTTTCCCTCTTCTACAGTGGGGTACCAACGCTCCAAAACTTGGTCAGCATACTCAAAAGCATCAGCTTTGCTCTGTAACCACCTCACAATTCAAAAAATCATTCATCATTTCGTTTATCAGCACTTACGGTTAGCATATAAAGGCAGGGTAAACCCAATTATAGAAAAACCTTAAAAATTAAGTTCCCAAATTATTATGTCAATTCTTCTTTACCTTCAAGTAAGTAAACGAAAATTAATAAAATCGTTACAAAGTTAGCCTTTTCACGATCCGTATCAATTAACCAAAACATTACGAATTAGAAACATATTATTTTGACAGGGATTGCTTATCTTACACATTCTTATGACCATTGAAGCATGGAAAGAAAGAGTGTTAGCATAACAAAGGTTAGTTTTAAAAGCCGTACAACTGACCGTAAGCTTTCGAACCGTGACAAAATTGATGCCAAAATTCTTCCTGGCTTCCAAATCCGACCTTTTCACTCGACTAAGCAATCCTGCATCATCAAAGATGTACGAATCTTTGGGTGGCCCCTCGTTAAGCACATCGAACTCAGAAGCCAGCGCATTGTCACTGTGCAATAGTGGGCTGAAGTTGAGAGCCAAGGAAATAGCCAAAGCTGCAAGTCCCTGTTGAGCTTGGATCAACCGGCTGGTGCAGTTAGGTAAGGATAGCTTGAGAGACAACGTTTGAAGCTTTCTGTGACTGGAAGGGAAGGGTTTGATGCAAAAGAGAGAATTCAACTTGGGTCGAGTAGAGGGAGAAGACGAAAGGATTTTGGAGGATGAGGCTTTGAATTTCGAGGAAGAGAGCGAGTGAGGAGGGAAAATGGTTTCCATGAGGGAGATTAGCAGATGAGAGAGTCAGATTAACCAGGAAGAAGGTTTCATCAACAGAAAGTTGGTGCTCTCTTGCCTGGCACATCTTTCTGTGTCACCTCGTTCAGATTTTTGGTGGCATCCATTGGTTGGCTTTTGGATAAAGTCTACTGCCCACGAGGGTCTTTTAGTCCATACGCCACAGTAGTTTTCTTCAGGGTGAATTTCAAATAAGGATCTCACATAATTACTGATTGGTCAAATTTCAATTCAGTCCGGCAGATAAAAGTAAAATAATTTTAACTATAAAAAATTAAAGTATTTTTCTCTTATTATGTAACATCATTAATTATTAATTATTTTATTTTATTTATTAATTTTATAATATAAATTATAAATTACATGGATTGATATATTGATAATTTTTTTTAAGAAGAATTTTAAACAAAGATTAAGAGGTGACATTATTATTAGTGGTTTTAAAAATTTTAAAATTTTAATTCAATTTAAGGGATAAAAAATGAAAATAATTTTAACTATAAAAAAATTAAAGTATTATTCACTTATTATATAGAATTATTAGTTATTAATTTTCTTACTTCACTCCTTAATTTTTTAATATAATTTATAAATTACATAAGTTGACATGTCAATAATTATATAAAATTTAATATTAGTTTCTCAATCACAAGCAACAATATTAATTATTAAATTATTAACTTTACTAATTAATTTATTAACTTCGATTGAAATTACTAATATATCTTATAATTTATAATCAATATTAGTAAATTAAAAAATAAATTTAATAAATTAATAATTAATATTACTGTTTGTTTGATAAGAAAATGTAATTTACAAGTAATATTGATAAATTAATAAGTAAAGTGAGAAAATTAATAATCAATAATTTTACATAATAAATTAAGGATACTTTGATCTTTTTATATTTAAAATTATTTTCATATATATCCCCAAAATTAAACTAAAATTTCAAATTTTTTAGTGAATTATTAATAATTATGTCACATTCTTGATCGTTTTTTGAAATTATCCCTTTTCTTCATCCTTTTTCCCACTTTTTTTAAATCTATTTTATGTAAATCATTTTTTACGACAATCAATTATTAATAGTGAGACTTAATTATCTTTGGCCAAAATAAAGGGGAGAAAGACTTTACTTGTGCACCAGTACCACCTACTATAAATAAATCTTAGGAAAAAAATATGATTTTCTCTATAAATTTAAGTATTTAAATATTAATTAAAATGACTTTAACTACCCCTCAGAATGCTAAAGAAATACTTTGCCCAAAAGGCAAGGTGTAATAGGAATATACTCCCTCTATTTTTATTTAAAAAAATTATTATTTTTAATTTATTTTTTATCTAAACAAAATCACATTTTTTAATAAGTATTTATTATAAATTTTTTAAATTATCTCTCATAATTTTATCATTCATAATTATAATAAAAAATAATAATTAATAAAGAGTTGATTAACACAACTAGTAAAAATATATTGTACTATAATTTTTTTATTTTTAAATATAATTAATATAATTAGTTGATTTTTTTAAGTTATGTGTTGCAATTTTTTTTTCACAAATAAAAACGGTGGTAGTAAAGTTCAATAGTGTAAGCCTTCCTGCATCAATCATCAACTCTATTGCACATGGCTCGTAACATGCATATGATTGGTCCTAGCTGGCCTTACAGTTATTGGTCCATTCTATTATTTCCTTACACGTTATTGGTTTGTTCCCAATTTTTGCATTTTCCAAAATGAGTTAACCCCAGGTGCGTTCACACTTCTCTCATGGATCCGTTTCAGTGCACCCAGGGAACATCTAGGCCATTCAGAAATCTGGATCATCCAATTTTTTTAATTTTAATTTTAATTTTAATTTTATAAAAATAAAATTTATAAATTTTTTTATAAATATATTTATTATCAATCTAGATAGTACTAATTCAATATGAGACTGTGAATGATTCAATTTAATATTATAATTTTCTTAAGCTAACTATCTAGATACACTCTGGACAAGATAGATTTAATATTAAATTTTTTATTTTAATAAATATAAAATAAAAATAAATATTTAAAATCTATAACTTACAGATAAAAATTTAATATTAAATTTAAATTATCTAGAGTACATCTAGATAGTCAATTTATGAAAATTATAACATTAAATTAAGCCATTCAAATTAAATCAGTACTATTTAAATTGATGATGAATATATTTATCAAAAAAATTTATAAATTTTTATTTTTATAAATTTAAATTTAAATTTAAATTTAAAAAATTTGGGCCAGATGTTTTCCTTGCTGACCACTGAAACTAAAACTAAATCCCTTATCTCATACTGTGTTCACGTGATATTAGCATTCTCCTCGCTATCCTTCTTTTTTCTCTTTGGTATCAGAAGCAACATGGCTTTCTTTATGAGCGCCATTTACAATTGAATGCCCACTTGTCCCCTTTCTTCTCCAAAACCAAAGCGTTCTGGGTTTCTTTCTTTCCAATGCTACTATTCACTTCTATCACATTCAATCGTGCCTGATTGTCATTTTTCTCCATTTCTCATTATGTCCTCTTCTTCCTCTCGAGTCTTTGAAGGTAATTTTTCTACATCTCTTCATGGTTTCTAGCTTCATAATAATGGAGTTTGTTATAATGGGAACAACGAGAGGTTTGTTTCTTTATATGATATTCTTCATCTTGATACAACTCCCTTTTATGTTTTCATTTTAATTCATTCTTTTCTCTGATTTCTTTATATGGTTCAATTGAGAATATGTTTTTTTTTAATTATTACTTATCTAACTATATTCTTTATATATGTTCTTAGATGACAAAGTTGTCATGAACTACTTCAATGTTATCAAAATATTGTTTGATGTGGATCCTGGTGTGGTGGATTACTTCAAGAAGATGTTGAAGCGAAGGCATCTAATGGTTGGTCGTGCAGACCCGTCTTTGTAACATCCAAAAAAAGTTAATTGTGATTAATTAACCTAATGATTTTAATTAGTGAGTTAATGAAGTATATGGCTAGAGGAGCCTAACTTGGTGTTATTGTTGTGATTTCAACCCTAAAAGTGGGTCTGAATCGAAGGCGGGTTACCCAGACAAGGAAAGAGGGAGAAAAAGTAAGGAAATGCCCTCTGTGCCACATACTGCAGTGTGTGGTCAATACACTGCGGTGCACGACCAAAATTTTTGATAAATCAGTTCGCATTCTGCGTAAAAACCAAAGAGGGAGAGAAGAGAAAATCGAAGAGCTCGACTTCAGTTTTACTAGGGCATGTTGTGAGATCACATTGAGGATAGATTGAAGCTCCCAAACACCCAAAGTAAGTTTATTATCTCCCTCATTTATGATATGGTTTGAGTTAGAAGATTAATTTTTCTGTCCATTAGAATATGGGTCCAACCTCATTGGTTAGAATGAATACAATAGGAGTTCTTTAAAGTATTGAAATACCATATTGATGATTTTAAAAGTGATTGGTTCATGACAGCATTTAATATTCAAAAATCCATATTAGTGATGTAGTTGGGAAAAGTTTATGCCCATTAATGATGATTTAATGACTCGTAAATGATAATATAGGTCAATGGAATCTAATGAACCCATTAGGTATGAATGGGCAACAATTTATGGATTGGTAAAATAAATACATGGAGTTGGTATTGGTGAATTCTCATAGCAGGGATTATGATGATATTTTTTATTTTGATTGTAGTGTGAGTTAAATTTGGCACCATTCAAGCTTGTTGAAACTTTAAAAGTCGATATTGTGAGGGGGTATACCTTTCTCAAAGGTTTAAGGTAACCGATGGAAACCTAATATTTATAGTTGAAGGAAACCTAATATTTATAGTTAAATATTAATTGTGTTGTGAAATGTGGTTAATGATTTAAATTAATGATGCATATTGGCAATGGGTTTGACTTGCGAAATGGTTTTAGAAAGAAAAACCTCTATTATGCCACCCTTTATGATTTGTGAACTTAATTTTGGTTTGTTATTGTGCGTGGAGAATTGTGATGTGAAATGTTGAGCTTGTGGAGTATTTGAGTATATGTGAATTTATGTGACATGAATTGATTGTTTAAAATGCATATTATGTTAAATGTGCATAGTATGATCATTAAAGAGAGTTTGCTTAGGGAGAGTAGATTGATTTAAATTCACGTAGTATTGGCAGTAACCGTTGGAATCAGAAACTTTCCTTGACATCGACTATTGAAATCAAAAGGTAGCCCTTGTCTCATGGTTGATTTAGGACTGTCCCACTTGTTCTACAAGGAACTCGAACTTAACTAGTTTTCACCGGTTTATGAGGATGTTAGATTAAGGGTATAACATACTGTGGTTGTTAGTATTGAAAAAAATCGGGTTACATAAGTGAGTGAGTTAACCCTGGCCCAGTAACTCCTCACAAGTGGAAGGTTGGGTTAGTTTGTGAAGGACGTAGCCTTGTGATAGCCACCATTTTCATGTCGGAGATAACAGGAAGATATAAAGTTAGCATATAATCATACATATAAGTTTGGCTATATAATTGTTAGTTTTGTGATTCAGCATGTGATTGGGGTGTATAGTTGTTATTGTTGCGACCCCATGTTGTGTTTTGTAATTTAAATGATATTGTGTGTTCTGGGCACAATCACATAGTTATTAATTTTGTAAACCGTAGCCAAATATCTCATACGTGTTATTTAGTGGTGTTTGCTTATTTGCATCTATTTATTTACAATTGATATGCAACTATATGGGTTAGGTGAAACTTAGTTATTGAGTAGTTGTACTCACCTTTTAATTTTCAATATTTTAAGACCTAGCTCATCAGATTCAAATAAAGAAAAATATACAGAGGCTTAGAATTGTGGAGTAATCCTTTCTGTATGCCTCTTTATTGTTTTTATGTGTATATGTTAATGCAATTGTCAACTATGATCACATGTTGTTATTTTTCTACTACTTGTATTACTATAATACACAATTTGTGTATTTGTGCCTAGGTTAGTGAGTTTTGGTTGTAAACTTGTGGTTAGGGTAAAAATACTTGTGCAAGTAGGAACTTATGTATTTTGAAAGATTCAAAATGAAAATGATGATTTT